TGTACATGCGTGTGTGTGTGTATATATATATATATATATCTACACATACACATATAGTAAATTACTCTCACTGCATACCCCCTATGCCCAGAAACCCTGAACCAGAACCCCCCCTAAACCTTCAACCCCTAAACCCCAGACCCAGAAACCCTGAACCCGGAAACCCTAAACCCAGAAAACATACACCCCTAAGCCCACAAACCATAAACCCAGCAAGCCTAAACCCCTAAACTCCACACCCAGAAACCCTAAAGAACCAGGAAACGCTAAACTCAGAAACCCAAATCCCCTAAGACCAGAAACCCCGAACCCAGAAACCCTAACTCAGAAACCCAAAACCCAGAAACCCTAAACCCTGCACCCAAGAACTGATAGCCCGCCACTGAAATGATATGGTTCAAGGATCGATTCGTGGTGATCTGTGACAACCCAAAGCAACCCGGGTCCAATTCGGATGCCGCTTTCCGGATCCGCGTTGCAAGATGACATTCTTCCGCGAACAGCGAACATTATTCCGTTCCTTAACCCGCCCCTCTGAAATAATTATACAGGACACCCGCCATGAACAAATTGCAAACAAGGCGTGGTATGAGAGCCCAGCTGTCCTTTGCCGACCTTTGCGACACTTCCTATTAAACCCTGAAGCACAACTAGCCGTTGGACTCAGGGAGAAGCAGACGCACATACAGTTACAGAGAGAGAGAAAGAGGGTGAGAACTCCAAAAAGGTCAAACAACAAGAGTGCTGCTTAGCCAAGCATGCCTAAAGCGGAGCCCAGCGTTCCCCGAAATCATAACTTACCCCCGCCACAGCCTTTCCAGCTGTGATTGCACATTTCCCCGTTCGGAATATGGAAGGAATCAGAATCTGAGGCTGTGAAAGATGCAGACTAACTTTGCCAAAACCGACCCCAGTCATCTGGTCAGTTCCGGGACTCCGGCCAACTCCAGCGAACCTCGGCAGGTCCGCACACACCACTTTTCGAAATGCGAGACGAAAAGTGTCCGGATTCGGCGACATGCTGATTCCAGACACCCCCGAATTTGCACATGCTCACAGGGAGCTCGATTCCTTTTCTCTACATTCTCCCCCTACTTCTTTCGACGTCTTCTCCCGGGCATGTGGCGCGAGGTAATCCCCTCGGAACAAGCCCGGCTGCTTTCTGCGGATTTTTTGGAACGAATGAAATTTCACGATGGTGTCTTCACCAGAACAGCAAAGCAGCTGGCGCTCGCTCTCTCTCTCTCTCTCTCTCTCTCTCTCGGGCACAGAGTGTCTACCGGGTCGTCTAGAGACGCATGAGACCACGTATAATTGCAAACCGTATAGTAAGCCCATGAAGCGGACCGCTCTTCTTCCTGACGTCTGTTCGTGTTAATTAGATGGCAAGAGCATGTAAACGGGGAACTGCTTTGAGAAAGCGCTATAGACTTAATAGACAGTGGGACTGATCCTGCCAGCCAGTGTACATGTGTTTCTGCTACTGCTCCTTCCTGCGAGCTCCCCAATCGAAGTGGAGAGCAAGTCAAATTGGCGCGGTGCAGGGTGTCTCATGACAAGTCGTTACTAGAAACAGGCCGAGCCAGCACACGCTTTGGAGTCATGGACTCATTCAAGCATGTCCAGTTGAAAAGCGAAAAACGCTCTTGCTGTCTAGGCTTACCTGCAATGCTCAAACATGAAACATAAAGTGCCGCCAAGGCTGCCCCCAGGAGCCCGAATGGGGTGACGAGCCTTCCGTGACTTTGTTCCGCGCTGCTGATCGTTAGTCAGTGCCCAGTCTGCAGGTGGTTATGAAGCTTTCTGAAATCGGGGGTTGGTACCTTCAGGGTCTTTGCGGTTTCTGCAGCTTCGGCCCTCAATGCTTGTGGGGCCGTCGAGGCACCTGCTGATGAGCTTGCTTTGGTCTTCCGAGTTTGGGGGCTTGGGGGGTTTGGCTTTCGGAGCTTGCCAGGCGACAGTCACGCTCGGCGCTGCGCGACAGACAAGGAAACTGCGTCAAGTCCCTGGACTGCGATTTTAACTGTCACCAACGAGGACCCGAGCCCACCAACTGCAAGCAAAGTCTTAGAGGAAAACTGCTATCCATCGGCAACACATATTGGCCGGACGGTCTTCGCAAACTCCCGAACCGCCCAAACCATCCCGACTTCCTCCTGTGTCGGTCGTCTCATCAGAATACTGTGAGCTGAAGGTCCTGCCCCACAGCTCCATGGCCATCACGGATTTCGAGGTTTGAAACTCTGTACGAGAAGCCCGCGGATTCGCATCCATCAATTTTTTTTGCATCCGTACTGTTTAGGTTT